ATGAGATTTTGGTCATATCGCACAGCCCTACATGAGATGTAAATACATGTTTTTAAAGAACAGGCTAACAAAAATTCAGCATGTCTTATATCTTGATTGTTTATGTGATTGTTTTAGTCTGATGGTGTGATTGTAACTTATTTCTTCTAGTGTCTGAGCTTCAGGAGGAGGGGATAAATGCCATCAACCTTCCTCTCAGCCCTTCACACTATGAGCTGGACCCTGAGGACACCATGCTCGGTAAACAGCTTAACTCACTCAATGTGCTGAATGTCACTTGTATTTGTTTCTTTAATCATGTTATATTTGTTGTAATTTCTGCTGCCCTCTCGGCTGGGCCTCCTGGAAAAGCGATTTTTCCAACTTGTACCTGGATAAATGAAGTATATAAACGTATTTTTAGCTAACCCAAAGCATTTTGGGATCCACAGTTTGAGATGCTTTAATGCTCCATTGCTTTGTACTGTTGTTTGGTTTATTTTGCCAACTTTTTCTCGTCCAACAGAGGAGAACGAGGTGCGCACCATGGTGGACCCAAACTCCAAGAATGACCGCAAACTGCAGGAGCTCATGAAGGTTTTTCTTTTTGACCCACCATTTAAGAATTTCTATATTGCTACATCTCCTAACATCTTAGACTAAGGGCCCAATTAAAGCTTTGAAAAGCTAATAATTTCTACGTTTTATTTGTTTTTTGTGTTTCTTTAAAGGATATATTGAGGTATATTTGAAGGTAGCTGAGCTGTATCATAAAAAATAAAACATTGTAAGCCCCCAATGAAGCACCTGTTTCTTCTTCTGCCTGCGTAGGTGTTGATCGACTGGATAAATGACGTTCTGGTGGGCGAGAGGATCATTGTTAAAGATCTGGCTGAGGATCTGTATGATGGTCAAGTTCTGCAGAAGCTGTTTGGTAACTTAACCTTCGCACATTGTTGTGGTTTGACAAAGAGTTTGCAGATGACACTGGGATGTGTAGTGAGAGCAGGAAGCAGGTGGGGAAAGAACCTTGAGAGGTGGAGGTATGAACTAGAGAGCTGAAGAATGAAAGTCATTAGAAACAAGAAAGAATACGTGTGTGAATAACAGGGAGACAGATGAAAGGTGAACATAGTGTAGGTCGCTCAACCATTCAAAACAGAGGACGGTGCTCAAGAGAGGTGAAGAAGAGAGTGCAGGGAGGGTGGAGTTGTTGGAGATTTGTGGCAGAAGGATGGCGACGAGATTGAAGGGGAAGGTTTACATGATGGTTGTGACTAGGGCAGGGCAATATGGTCAAAAATATTTATCACGATATACATTTGAAAATTTGCGATAACGATATAACTGACGATATAATTGACACGAGACAAAATACTTTACAACTCCACAACTTTATTAGTGCAAAAACCTCCACCAAGATATCCACTTACGAGGACATTATTCTGCCACTGTTTGAAACAAGTGGCCTCTTATGTGGATCTCATTTTTCTCAAAAACAAAAATTAGATTAAAAAAAAATCTGGTAATTCTTTGTTTTTACATTCTTTAGGTCCCAATCAACCCAAATAGCAAAGAAAAATTAAAAATGCAGGAGGTTAAACAAGCAGCTGTTTTTTATGTTAATTAAAGTTATATAAAAATTTAACAGTGCAAATGCAAATTCCTTGCTGATAGTTTAACCAAAATGCATTTACAGTGGGAACTGGCCGACATATCCTCAGCATAACCATATATAATATGCACAAAACTTAAAAAGAGGTTATACACACACAATACGGGAATATTATGTTGAAGCGCAGTACGTATCACTCCGCGAGGCTCCTGCCTACGATAGCCGTAATGCTCCGACAATCCATCAAGCGGTGCGGCTTCGTAGCTTAGCAAAGTCTTACTGAAACATTTTTTCGAGCGCTGTGTACATAAAATCGTTTCAAGGTCAGTAAACACAACCAGAATTCATACATAAGGCACGCCGGATTATAAGGGGCACTGTCGATTTTCAGAAAATCAAAGGCTGATTTTAAGTGTGCCGTATTTTCCGAAAAACACGGCAATAACGACGGCCCACTCTACCGCTAGCATGCCGCTAGCATGCGCTACCGCTAGCATACCGTTAGCATGCGCTACCGCTAGCATACCGCTAGCATGCGCTACCGCTAGCATGCGCTACCGCTAGCATACCGCTAGCATACCGCTAGCATGCGCTACCGCTAGCATACGCTACCGCTAGCATGCGCTGCCGCTAGCATGCGCTACCGCTAGCATGTCCTTTGGTGTGTATCTGATGCACGAAAGGTAAACCAGTTCCACATCACTGAAGTTGCAGCATTTTTACAAACCAATCCTGGTTCATCTGTTTCATTCAACATCCGCTTTCGCCCTTCTCATCCTCCATCGGCGCCATGCTTTTTCAGCCATGTGCATATGAAAACAAAGGCACTGCGGATGCACGTTTTGCCCATATTCTATTGCGATATTTCATTTTCTTATCATTGCCCAACATTATACCGGTATTACCGTGAATGGTATGATATGGCCCAGCCCTAGTTGTGACTCCTCCTGTGATGTGTGGTTTGGAGATGGTGCCACTAAGAAAAGGACAGGAGGCCAAACTGGAGGTGGCAGAGATGAAGATCCTTAGATTTTCACTGGGAATGAGCAGAATGGACAAGATTAGTACATCAGATTAGCTCAGGTTGAGCGGTTTGAAGACAGCAGTCAAGGGTGACATGCGCAGAGGAGGGGAAGGGATATACTGGATATACAAAGGATGTTGAAGACGATGCTGCCAGTCAGGAGAAAAGAAAAGATTATTGGATATAGTGAAGATAACATGCTAGGGATAGAGTAAGATGGTGGCAGATGGTCGATCTGATAAGTAGTAGATTAGTAGTTGATAGCTGAAATTCTGAGTTTAAAATTTACTGTAAATTCTTCTTTTAGAAAAGCTTGAAGGCGAGAAACTGAACGTGGCAGAGGTGACCCAATCAGAGATCGCCCAGAAGCAGAAGCTGCAGACCGTTTTAGAGCGGATCAACGAGTCTCTCAAACTCTCCACCAGAAACATCCGCTGGAATGTTGACTGTAAGAAAGTTTCATTATTTCTTCATTAATTCCTGCAGTAATGTCGTCTTGCCAAAGGCAGCTTTTGGTTTTGTTGTCATGCACTTTCAGTTATTTAGCCTTGAGAATGCAGTGCAAACACTACAGTGAGATGCGCTGCATTTTGTATTTGTGCTGTGTGAAGTCCTTGCACCGCTATCTCCATGTATTAGTTTAATTTGATGAAATTGAAATTTCTTTTAAGACGATGAGCCATCTGTCCTCCAGTCATTTGAACGACTGTTGTGAAACACAATATGCTGTTATGTAACACTTGTAATGATATGACAGGACCTGATGAATCCCTGTGGGGAAAATGGATGTTTGCATCTACAAGAGGAAAACAGTTGAAGGATAGATAGTAAAAAATAAATAAAATTTAAAAAATTAAATATTTTTCACACACAGCAGATACAGCATAGTAGGAATCTTTCACTCATATCCATCATCTAGTGACTTAACACTAACAAAAATAGATTGTGGCTCTTTTCTGCTTTTTCTTATCCTCTGTCATGTATATACGATTATAATAGTGAATGCTCATATCAAACAAAGTTTTAATGAGGTGATGTGGACACCGGAGTTTGTGAATGTGATAACTTGAGAATGAGGCGACTCGAGAGTTTTAAATTGATAGCATAGCTGCAATTGCTAGGAGGCTGAAGGGTAGCACTGGTCGCTGCCAGTACTTTTTTGTTTTTGATTGCAGCAACATGTCTAAAAAAACAACTAACCTCCTTCAGTGTCTGGCTCAATGACATGTTATCGGTCATTCAACTGGAAAAAGTTGGATACCTGCAAACACCTGCAGCAAATGTTTTCTCAAAATCCTGGACTCCGTTTTGTACTCACCTTGAGAAAGCTCACGTTGTATAAACATGTACCATTGCACTGCAATTTCCCTGTTTATTACATATTCATGAGATTTAATTCATTATGGATACTGGTAGTTTCTAATTTGAATGTTTTCTTTCTTTTGTCTTTCCCTATTGATTATTATTATTGTGCTACTTCTTGTCCTATCATCTCAGCGCCTGAGCTGTATTTGTTTGTTGAGGGGTTTTCTATGCTGAAAAAATTAAAATAAAATATTGAAGAAAAAAAAACAACTAAACTAAACAGACTAAACAGGAAATCGACTGCCTTCTTGGTATCAGCGCTAATTTCATTCCGCATCAGTGCCCTGAGGCCGTCTTTTTCAGGAAAAGTATTGCAAGTTTCAGCAGACAGTGATAAATGCGTGTATTCCAATAGCATGAGTTTGCAGTAGAAGAGTCCGGCTGCAGTCTGGGTGACTTTCACCAACTGAAAACATATGAAACGTAAAATATGACGAAGGATTCCCAGGATTGTCAAGTGATAGAATTTTATATCAGACAACAATGGGACAGCATTCCTCTCCCAAAAGTCTCAGGACTTGTGTCCTCCTCAGTTCGTAGACATTTACAGACTGTTGTTAAAAGAAGAGGAAAAGACGTGTTACTGCCAACAAATCCAAAATGACGTGTTTCTTCAGAAGAAAGTCGAATTAAAGGGAGGTCGGCTAAAGCAGCTTGTTTCAATTAGAGGCTGAATTGAAGGGCTGCAACACGACCCAATATCAGATAAATAAGGCTTATATTGAACTGTGACATACAAAGTTACTCTACTAGAATCTAATATTACACAAAATTTTTTTTTAAAAAGAACAACCACACTGGTTTACTGCACTGTAATGTACTATACACTGTGTTATTTCATTTTATTTATTGAAAAGGTGTTACTGGTGTGTGTTCTATGTTCAAATACCAGCAATTCCAACAGTGTAAAAGAAACTTGGCAAATGATTAAAATCCAGTATAAAGAGATTTATATATTTTCTGCATCACCAAACAAATGCATGCACAGTACAGTTACAGTGCATCGACAGTTTGCACTCGATCCAGGGGTTTTATTTGCAGTTTAGAACAAGCTGCAAATAAAAGAACCAGCGAAAACACGCCGCTTCCATCTTCTAGCTTTGAACTGAAACTGTAACATAACCGGCTGTCAACCAGGTCATGTGTTCAGGGTAAGTTTGGGCTTTAACATCAACACAAATCGTTAATCTGGCTTCGTAGTACACCCCTCTGGTTGTTGTGTTTGTGACTTTCCAAACACGAGTTGCAGAGTCCTCTGTGTTGGATAAACTATGTCAAATCAGCACGTATAGCAGGAGAAAGGTGTTTCTCCTGTCTCTTCTTTACTTTTAAATTCTCATCATCAAGTATAAATGCTGGGGTTGATAGATAAGCAGATAACTAATACTGACCCATCGATAGATCAGCCACTACCACGCATTGTCTCCACTGACAAGGTGGAGTGGTGGTTTTGTTATTCTGTGAATTATTTTTTATTTATACAGAAAAAACTGTATAAATCTGGCGCTTGTCATGACCCTCATTGTTTCCTTCCTGTATGGAAAACGGTATTTGAAGGATTTGTGTCTGAATGTACTCATCTGTCCATTGGATTAATATGCTTCCTGCTGAGATGTAACCGTGTAGCCGCGCATGTTAAGAGAGCTCTCCATCTGTCCTTTGATGGCACTCTTTGATCTGACAGAGTGAGTAACAATAATTACTGTTGAGCTCCCTGCACACTGCCTTTTTACTTTCGTCATTAGCTGCAAGTTGGACGTTGACAATGAAGTGTGAATGAGCCCAGAAATAATGCCATCAACAGTCTGTTCATCACACACGAGTGCAACAGAGAATACTTACAGATTTTTAAGGTACTTGGCAGATTGTGTTTTCCCCAAGCAGCAAGGAGAACTTGCACAGTGAGGCTCCATAGTACTGAGATCAGACTTGGTGTTTTGAAACTAGATGTGGGTCTGACTGTGAACCTGAGGACACCGCGGGCTCATTGGCTAACACCTAGTTGTTAGAACATGAGCATACCCTGAATAAAACTTCTTTCTGATCCTAATAATGACAACAATTTACTGAATGAGGTTCATTTTGTATGTTCTGAAACGAGAGATTGAGCCCATAAAATGATCAGGAATAGGATTACTAAAAGCTGTGTCCTTTGCAACCAATGGAGTCGCCAATGGAGTCCTTTCTAGTCTTTAGATGAACTGTGTACATTGATTGGTCCACCACAGGACGCACAGAGACCAGGCTTTCCAGTATGCTACAAAGGAACTATAACATAAATTGTAACAATGTTTCAGGCTCTTGGGTTACCCAGTGAGTACTTAAGTACCCAGAAACCTCCGAAAGCAGTTATGTGGTATAAAATACAAAAGAAAGATAAAAAAAAATGATGTAATAACACACAGAGAAAATCTTTAGGATAACGAACACAACTGATTTTGTTATGTTCTTTTAAAACTGAAAAATCCGGCTTTCCTAAATGTGCCTCTGCTAGAAACTGTGTCCTTGAAAAGATATTAAGTACGAGATGTCTTCAAATATGCTAAAGAGCACAGTTAATAGCACAGAATGTAATTGATTTGGCTGTCCTTTTATTTGAGGAGCTTTCTTTTAATCAATTTTGTTTGTCCCCGCTTTCATCTCACATCCAGAGGCCGTAGAAAACCCTTCCTGATGCTGCCTATTTAGGTCCTCGTGCAGCAGGGATCTAAGGTTTTATGAATGCTTTTAGCTTCCTCTCTTATTCGCCAATACCATGTGGAACAACCAAAGGCTTGCTTTAGACAATTAATTGATCCTGATTGATTGATGTATCCAAAGGTAAATCTGTGTTTGGATGGCTAACTGCACATCTCTTGAGTGTTTCTGACTGATCAGGCTGATCTTTAAGAGCCATTCTCACTCTGTTTTTCTGTGCTTTCTCCCTCCTCACTGAAGCTCGTATTTTGTAGCTTTTATAATATCGCTTCAAGGCAACTTTTGGCATCTTATGTTTGTATGTACACGACCTTGCCACGTAAAACTTTTCATTCTAAATTCCTTGAACGATATTAAAAAAATTAAAGAAACCCTCCTGCCTTGTTATTTGGCATCCCAATTAAAATCACATTAAATAATACAAAGGCTAAAGATCAGGGAAAGAAATGGTGTAGAAAGAGCTGTGTGTCGGTGACATTAGTTGAAGAATGACGACATTATGTGACATTTGAAATTGTTGACTAAATCGGTAGCGTACAATGCAAATGCAAAACTCTTTTGTACTGTAAATACTAATACTTAACTTTATCAAATGCCACAAAAAATAGAAGATATGACAGAGAAAGTTTGTAATAGAAATATAAAGGTGCTAATTCTGGTTCACATTTTCTTTTCCAGGGCCACCACAGTATGATCTGTGGGATGATTTTTGATATATTTAACATTTAGATAATAATAATGTACCTATAATGATGTGAATAAAACACTAATTGTTCTCATTTTATGCTACAGTTATGCTTACAGACTTACCTCACTATTATCAGAAACCCCTTTGATCAAAATCCTGATCTCACCGATCTGCTAGTTAGTTTCTGACTATTATTTCTGTTTTCTTACATTAGCGGTTCATGCTAAGAGCATAGTTGCCATCCTGCACCTGCTGGTGGCGCTGTCACAACACTTCAGAGCACCGATCAGATTGCCGGACCACGTCTCGATTCAAGTAGTCGTCGTCCAGGTTGGTGAACGTTCTTTTTTTTTTTATCTGCTGCTTATAAAAATAATCAGGCATGTTCCCCTTAATTCGGCACGAGCACCAGGTTTTACTGAGCAGTATTTGTGTATTATTTTAAACACTGGATAAGTCTGAATGCATGCAGCATACGGCCACATTAACAAGACGTGATGTGTTGTGTCTCTCCTGCATGTTTACGAGCGAGTTAGCACTTTAAAATACGTGATTGTGTTT